GAAGCGTAAAGGTCTGGCGGATGCCTCGCGCACGGCAGTAGGCTCGCAGAAGGCCAGAGGAGAACTCTCCGCCTCGGTCAGAGTGCAGACGCAGAACAGGAAAGTCCGAGCCGAAGCTCCTCCTGAGCTGGAGACGAGCTGCGCGGATCCAGTCGATCAACACCTCACTGACATCGCCCTTGCTGCGCAAGGGGAAGACTGTGGTGTAACGCGAGTAGTCGTCAACCACCAGCAGGAAGTAGCGCTCGTGACCCTGTCCACGGACGTGGGCCGGGCCCCACATGTCCACATGAAGCGTCTGCAGCGGGGCCTCTGTTGGAGGAAACTGAGAGGAGTGAGGGGAAGCCCGGAGCCGCCCCTCGACATAGGGGACGCAGGAAGGACCAGGCCCCGGAGGAAGGGAAGGAAGGGACCGGGGAAGACCACAGACAAGGACACGGGAAGCCATGCCTCGGAGACAAGGCAGGGAGGGGTGACCAAGACGGTGGTGCCACAGGAGTGTTTCGTGAGACAGGAGGCGATACGAGCAGGGGGCGGACTCAAGACCAGACCTGGACGCTGCAGCAAACACCTGACCCGATGCAGCTACCTGGCCAGACGCAGGGACAGGAGGAGACTCAGTGGTCAGGGTGTACAGGCTCGACCCCGGCCGACGTGTAAACGTGGCAAGGTGCCTGCCTGTGCGAGCGTCCGAGCAGTGAGTCACCCGCTGACTCGCAGGAGTAAACTGGTGAACCCCCGCATCCTGTAGGTCAGCACCACTCACCAAGTTCGTAGAGAATGAGGGGAGGTAAAGACCAGACAAGGTGCCAGAGGGGGCAGCCGGACACGGGAGGTCAGTAGAGAAGTGAGAGAGGACAGGGCCCCCACATGGGTCTGCGAGGGAGACTGCAGCCGGCCGACCAAGCGGCGTGAGTGTGGTGCGGTCTCGAAAGAAGGAGCGAGAAGCCCCTGAGTCAAGGGTGAAGGTGAGGGAGGCCGAAGCCGATGCGGTACCTGAGAACGCAGACTCACCAGCACCTGAGGACGCAGACGCAGTGGCACCTAGAGCAGCAGCCTCACTGGCACCTAGAGCAGTAGCCTCACCACTACCTAGAGCAGCAATCTCGTTGCCCGGGTTGGGCGGGAAACACCAGTAACAGTCACCCTCATCACTAATAGTCACAGCATACATTGCAGCAAGGATAGCATCAAAGTCAAGATCATAGATGGCTACACCTGCCCTAGACAGCTCTCCCTAGCGGGGGATCTTAGTAGCCTACAGGAATGGCTGACGCCAAGCGTCCGTCAGGCGGCCAAAGCAGCGCTGGGTGGGGTGGGCACCCCCACACTGCTCACCCGCGCGGTCGCCGGTGCGAAGGACGTAGGTGCACGGACCAAAACCCCCACCACGCTGACGCTGCGCGTACCACTCACGGAGCTGCTGAGGGGGGGGGGATGTCCCGAGACCGCTGCTACTGCTGCTGCTGCTGGCGCGGACCACCACCGGAGCCGCTCCGCTGAGAAGCGCCACCCCGAACAGCTCCACCTCCTCCACCGCCGCCTCCTCCACCGCCGCCACCACCGCTGCCTCCGCTCCCACCGCTACCTCCTCCGCCGCCTCCCCCTCCACTGCTGCCACCGACACCTCCACCCCCGCTACCACTCCCACCGCCACCCCCACTCCCTCCGCCGCCTCCACCGCCACCTCCACCACCCCCGCTAGCTCCACCCGCGCCCTTGCCCCCCTTGCCCTTGCCAGAGCGGCGTCTCCCGCTAGGGGCAGACGCCGCACCGACTGACTCAAGACCAACGAGGTCGGCCGCAGCAGCAGAGGCGACAGAGGGCAAAAGGGGGGAAGGGGAACACCCCTCAAAGATGGGGGTGCGAGGGTCACCACGAGAGGCACCTACAGCCACTATGCTCTTCTCTGCTACTAGGAGGGCCTTCTCTAGAAGGTCAACAGTGAGAGTGGTGGGACAGACAAAGAGGAAGTGGTCCCTGACTACACGAAGGGAGTCAGGGAGGCGGGTGACTATGTAATAGAGAGTGATGTACATGGAGGGGGGGGTTCTTGGCGCAGAACTCAGTAGGAAGCGCAGCGCGATAGCGAGTGTCACTAGTGCGGAGGTGCGTAATGAGGTCAGCGACTGTGGGAAAGGCAGCAAGGTCAGGGAAGAGGTACGCTAGCATGAGGCGGCTCAGTGCAGCAGTGGCAGGGGAAGAGTAGCGCGCAACTACAGCGTCGTACAAGGTCTGAGCACTCTTGTACTGACTAAAGTGCGCGCGCTCAGTGGTAAGCAGGTAGCGACGCACAGCAAGACGTGCAGCAGCATCGCGCGTGGCCCACTGAGAGCGAACAGTGGCGTCAGCATCAGCAGCACGGGCAGGAGAGGCGCCAGAGGTGAGGTCAAAGAGAGAGAGACCGTCTGCCCTATCACACTGTAAGAACAGCTGGAGGTCATCGACTCAGACCTCAAATTCAATGGCTCGACCCTCAGCGTCAAAAGCGAGGACACTTGGGGTAGCCATGGACAACAGTAGACCAGCAGTGCAAGCAGTAGGGAAAGGGCAGTGCAGTGACAGAGGTGCTGTGCTCACCGGACAGTGCTGCACGGGCGGCTCGGCGGAAGAGCGGCTGGGCGGTACGACGGCTCGATTGCTGGGCGGCTCGGCTGCACGGCGGCTGGGCGGCGCGGCTGCAGGGCGACCCGGCGGCTCGGCGGCTCGGCTGCTCTGCTGCTGGGCGGCTCGGTTGTGCTGCTGCAGGGCGGCGCAGCGGTCGGCGGCTCGGCTGGGTGAGGTGGCTCGGGCGGCTCGGGTGGCGGGCGGCGCTGCAGTAGTTGAAGGCGGCGAGGCCGCAAGTGAGGGCGGCGGGGCCGCAAGTGAGGGCGGCGGGCCGCAGGTGAGGGCGGGGACTGGCCGCATCTGAAGGCGGCGGGGCCGCAGGTGAGGGCGGCAGGGCCGGAAATGAGGGCGGCGGGGCCGCAGGTGAGGGCGGCGGGGCCACAAGTGAGGGCGGCGGGGCCGCAGGTGAGGGCGGCGACGGGGCCGCAGTTGAGGGCGGCGTCGGGGCCGCAAGTGAGGGCGGCGGGGCCGCAAATGAGGGCGGCGACGGGCCGCAGCTGAGGGCGTCGATGGGGCCGCAGCTGAGGGCGGCGTCGGGGCCGCAGGTGAGGGCGGTGACGGGCCGCAGGTGAGGGCGGCGACGGGCCGCAGGTGAGGGCGGCGACGGGGCCGCAGCTGAGGGCTGCGACGGGCCCGCAGGTGAGGGCGGCGGGGCCGCAACAGAGTGTGGCGGGGCCGCAAGTGAGGGCAGCGGGGCCGCAAGGGAGGGCGGCGACGGGCCGGAGGTGAGGGCGGCGACGGGGCCGCAACCGAGGGCGGCGACGGGGCCGCAACCGAGGGCGGCGACGGGCCGCAAGAGAGGGTGGCGGGGCCGCAACTGAGGGCGGCGGGGCCGCAAGTGAGGGCGGCGGGGCCGCAAGGAAGGCCGCTAGGGCGGCTCGACGAAGGTAGAGAGAGGAGTGCGACTCGGGGAGCGTGCTCCGGGCAGGAAAAAAAAAAATCGATGTGGTGGGCCCTAGGCACAGTTACCACGAGGGAACCTGCTCGATACCATGAGAAACTTAGAACGAGAATGGAAATGACTAAGTGAAGTTGGGTACAAATGCAAACCCTAGAAAGCTGTATCCCATATGTGCTACCCCACTATAGCCTACAATAGCTATGTCATATAAATCTGACAGAAACCACAATGAAGGACCCTCTCTACTCAAACCCGCCGGGATACGCGACTACCAGAGAAAGCTGGGCTGCCTTCTCTTCGCAGCCGTCACCTGCCGCCCAGATCTATCCTACTCCGCAAGCCAACTCGCCACCTACCTCAAAAGACCTGAAGCAGAACACCTGGCGGAGCTCGACCGCGCTCTCCACTACTTCGTCAGTACCTCAACGATTGGTCTGACCTACTACAAGAACACAACTACACCGACTAAATTAATCGGCTACGCCGACGTCGATCACGTTGGCGACTCAGACAATAGGCGCTCCCGCACTGGCTACATCTACCGCCTTGAACCTATCGGACCGATCTCCTGGCAATCGAGTAAGCAGGAACTAAGTGCTCTCTCGTCAGCTGAAGCAGAATATATTGCACTCTGCTCAGCCACCAAGGAAGGACTCTATCTTCGCGAGCTACTGGAAGAAGCGAAGTTAGCCGAGTTACCCAACTTCACTCTGTTCTGCGATAACCAATCTGCAATTCGCATCGCGAACAAAAGTGGATTTGCGAACAGAACGAAGCATATCGCTCTGCGATATTTCTTCGTGAAAGACGAGATCGAGAAGGGGAAACTTGAACTATCCTACTGTCCCACGTCCGAGATGGCAGCCGACTACTTGACCAAGAAGCTCGGAAAACAGAAGTTCGAGTACTGCATGCTGCTGACTGGACAAAGCCACGTCACCATCAGCGACACTCCAGAAGCGAAGGGGAGTGTTGGAAACAAACAATCTTAAGCGCCTCTGTCGTGTCGAAACACCAAAGCACAAGCGAAGCAGAGCATATCGAGGCACCAATGAGTCAACCCTCGGAGGTTGATGTAACGGCTGGAGGTTACGCGAAAGTCAAAGGTCAGCGACCTTTGACCTGACAAATGCAGCGCGACAGCAAGGACACACAACTGACTCGACATTGAGCAGTTGCCCGAGTCGTATTGTATCGAACCGCAACAGCAATAGTAAAGTAGTTATAACTATGTCTCTTCATATTCTCTGTATTCATATATATATTCTTGTATCTCTTTGCTTTAAACAACTTACTTTGCCCTCACATACTAGCGCAAGGTGGTTCAAGGACTTTACTTAAAACGCTTCCGCTACTACATCACTTTACCCAGTCTTTAACACTACAAAAGATCATAAAGGGCCACTCAGCCCAACATCTTTCAACTATTCTAGTGAATTTTCTGTGTGTGCCAAATCTATGCCTTCAAGGACTTGGACAAATTTCTGTCTCCTTAGTGAACCACCAATATCGTGTCTACACAGAAAGCATTCCGTAGAGCTCGTTCATCCGTTAGAGCAAAAATCTCTTCAGAGATAGCGAGCGCGACGTGGTGAGGGGGGGAGATAGCGAGCGTGACGAGAAAAGGGGGGGAGATAGCGAGCGCGACGGGGAGAGGGGGGGAGATAGCAAGCGCGACGAGAAAAGGGGAGGAGATAGCGAGCGCGATGGGAGGGGAGACCTTGAGCGCGGAGGCGATGCGAAGACAGGTGCATGTGAGCGTGATTGCGAGGGGAGGGAGGAACGTGAGCGCGATGCTGATGGGAGGGGAGGACGTGAGCGAAAGGAGATGAAGTAGGCGACGGGATGGGAGGGGAAATTACAAGGGCGACGGGAGGGAGAGCGCGAAGGCGACGAGAAAAGTGATGGCAGGGGGGGGGACAAAGGGCGCGGGGAGGGTGTTTCAGAGAAAGAGCGTAGGCGACGAAGTGTGTAATGGGCGGAGAGAGAATAAAGGCGACGAAGGGGGGGGGAGGGGGAAGGGATATCGCGAGGGCGACGGGAAGGAAAATGCAACGTGAGGGAAGGGAGATAGTGAGGGCGACGAGAAGGAAAGGGGGGACATTGAAGGTGAGGGGAGGAAGGGATAACACAAGGGTGACGGGAAGGAAGAGGGGACATTGAAGGCGAGGGGCGGGAGAACGGGAGGGCGACGGGATCGGAGGGAAATCGCGAGGGCGAGGGGACAAGAGGGGTGAACGGGAGAATAACGGGACGGGAGGGGAGACCGTGAGGACGACGGGAGGGCCGTCACGAGTGTGTTTGCGAGGGCGACGGAAAGGCGTCGGGACGGACTAGAGAGAGGAACAATATGAGAAACAATGTTCTTTTTGGCGGGAACCATCGCGTTCCATTGTGGCGAGAGCCAATAACATAAGTTCACTCTGCCCATAGAAATCGTTTGAAACAGTGTTTTTGAGACTGGTTTCATATTCCTTATTCAAGTTGGGACGGGGGTCACTATTTTAGCTGCGGGCTTTAAGGCACACTGTCGCCCCAGGGTTACCATTACTCTTAGCGAGTTTACCCTGAAGCGAATGCCACACCCGCCCCTCGGATCTCTGTCCTCCTCCTGATAAGTAAAAATCCCGTCATTGAAATTCTCATGTTGAAGTGGCCCGGTCAGTAGATTGGACTTCGGAAGAAAAAAGGCTCGGAATCGGATCCTGCAGTTGGTGTTTTTATTCAAAACTTCAGGAGAAACACTTCATCAGGGTTCTGAAAATTGTAACACTGTGGCCTAAGGGTAAACTTCTTGTAACTATGGAAAACCCTGATGGAAAAGTAGTTTCCCAAAGGGTCACACTGATAATCAGGGTTTTGCTAAGGTGCAGGACTGATGATAAGGGTTGCTTAAAACAAGAAATAAGCCCTGGTACCAGGGATTTCAAGCCGTGAAAAACACCATATTTCCTATGAGAAGCTAAAGCTCAAGTATATCAGATGCAGGGCTGGTGTGTGCCTTGCCTTGGTTAGGATAGTGTGCTTCACTGCGCATCGTTCTGAATGGAGTGAGGGGAATAGGAAGTAGAAGTATAGGTAGAGACAAAGGCAGTGTGGGCAGTGAGTGCCAGACAAGGGTGGGGTGAGAAGGGAGCAGGCAGGGAATGTTAAGGAAAAAGGAGAGGAAGGGAGGGGAGATATACCACTGATTGGGAGGAAGGGGGTTTGATTGCAATGAGGGGAAGAGCTTAAAGGGGGAACGCTACGCACAGATAATCAGAGCAGCTAGGGGTGTGTGTGTATAAGGAGGAAAAAATGGCTTACTGATGTTCAATATAAAGCCAACCTGTTCTACCCCTCCCACCACACTCCCTCTCACCACCCCACTAACCTCCCCCATCCCCTGCTCCCCATCCCCTGTACCCCCACCCGTTCTCCTTACTCCCGCCTCAAACTCATGCCCAGCCCTCTCCCCCTCTCATCTCAGCCCTCCCAGGCACCTCTCTCTCACCCACCCAGCTACCGCTCTTTCATCCTACCACCTCATGTTCAGCATACCTTGGCTCTATCATCCGACCACCTTCCAGCCACACCTCTCTCTATCGCTCACACACGCACCTTAGCTTTGGAGCGCTGGCGGCGCAGCATGAGCCCTTCAAACACCGCACTGCCCCACGTTTGAGAATTCTAACAAGTGTATCGATCACACACACCTTGGCTTTAAAGCGCACACACGCACCTTGGCTTTGGAGCGCTGGCGCCGCAGCATGAGTCCTTCAAACACTGCACTGCCCCATGACCCCTTTCTCCTGCCCGCCCGCCGCTGCTCGTTTAGCTCCTTCTTCCCCACCACTCTCCGCCCCGCCACCACCGCTCCACCCCCCTGCACTTCCCCAGGAGACCCCCAGCCTCCGTTAATAACTGGTGCTTCCCCATGCCCTTCAGAACTTCCCATAACACTCCCTGTGACACTCCGTGTGACACTCGTTTCCCCACTCCAACCCCCAGACTTCCCCATCCCTGCTGTTGCCTCGGTGCCACCATCAGCCTTGTCTTTCCAGCTTCCTGGCCTTTTTTTCCCCCTCACCCTTGCAAAGCTTTCACCCCCACCATCAACTTCGCCTGCATTTCCCTCCCTTTGCACCATGCTCTGTGCCATTTCCCCTCCTCTGCCTTTTCCCCTTCCACCCCCTCCTCCTGTTCCTCCTCCTGTCTCTGCTGACCCCGATTCTCCACCCAATCCCCCCACCCCCAACGCGCCAGCAGCGCCAGCAGCACCAACAGGAGCAGACGCCTGCCTATCTTTCGCGGACAGCCGCTTGGGCATGTCTAGTCCCAGCGCAGCAGGAGCAAAAGGCAAGGGCACGCACCCAGGCCCGCAGAACAGCAGCATGCGGTGCTGGAGCAGGGGCGAGAGGGGCGGGGTGAGAGGCGATAGAGGCGCCTCCGAGTCTGCTTGCTGCTCCTGGCGGGGTGGAGAGCCAAACTCCGAGCCCTCTCCCTGCTGCTGCTGCTGCTGCTGCTGCAGCTGCAGGTCTGTGATCATGGTACCGTCGCTTTCGGCGAGAACAGACGTGTTCATATCCTGGCCATCAAGCCAGTCTCCCATGCTGCCTGCTCTCGCACTCCCCCTGGAAACAGCAGCACTAGAAGCAGCGGCTGTGAGGGCTGGTGCCTGCTGGACCCCTTGTGTGTGCACACCTGCTGTTGCTCCTGCTCCTCCTGCTCCTCGTGCTGCTCCTGTTCTTGTTGCTCCTGCTCCAGCTGCTACAGTTCCTCCTGCCGAAGCTATGGGCGCGGCTCCAGAGGAGCAGGAGGAGGAGGCAGCAGTAGAAAACGAGTGTAGGCGGGGAGACACAGGCGTGGGAATGCGGGGCATAACAGCAGTGGCATGGAGCGTGGGCAGACCGCGTGTAGCTGTGGTGATAGCGGGAGAAGCGGCAGCTGCTGCTGCTGCTGCTGGTGATCCGGAAGAGAGGCCTGTAGACGCAGACAGAGCAGCCCCGGCCGCAGCAAGCAGGAGAGCAGGCGTGGTAGGGGGAGCGTGGAAAGACGGTGTGGTGGCAGGGGCAGGAACGGAAAGGGGGACAGGATGGTGAGTGGGGAAGGCAGGGTGGGGGTGGTGGTGGTGGTGCAGGTCGGCTTCGTCTTCCTCACTATCGCTGGGAGACGAGTTGTCAATAATGAGAATCTCTGATCGTACTGGTGGCTCCTCCACCTGCTGTGGCTCCATCATACCAGCATACACCTGCTGCTGCTGATGATGATGATGCTGCTGATGATGATGGTGCTGGTGCTGCTGCAGCTGCGGCTGCGGCTGGTGGTGGTGGTGGTGGTAATGGTGATCTGCAGGATGCATCTCCACTCCCACCTCATGCCGGTGCCTCTCATGTGATACCAGCGCCCTTTCCCCCGGCTTGCACGGGCTGGAGTGCTGAAACTTAAACGCCCCATCCTCCCTCCCGCCCTCCCCCTCCCCACCCTGCGACCCTCCCACCCCCCCACTAAGCCTCCCACTCAGCTCCCTCCTAAATTTCCTCAGAGACACCTCCAGAGGAGGGGACGAAGGGCCTCCCGTGCGTCGCCACGCTCTCTCCACCTCTCCCTCTAGGTCACTGCCCAAGTGAGAGAGCGGCGACCCTGATGTTCTATGGGACAGGGGTGAGCCTGACAAGCGCTGCGAGAGAGGCGACCCAGACAGGCGCTGCGAGAGAGGCGAGCCGGAGGTTCTGCGGGAGAGAGGCGGGGAGAGGGGGGCTTTGAGGGGGAGAGAGGAGGCTGAGGGGTGAGGGGGTCGGGGGGAAAGAGGGGGGCCGGAGGTCCTGCGGGAGAGGGGCGGGGAGGGTGGCGCTTTGAGGGGGAATGCGGAGGCTGGGGTGTGGTAGGGGCGGGGGGAGAGGGGCAGTGCGCGGGAGGAGGAGGGCACGGGGCGGGGGGAGGAGGGGAGGAGATGTGGGGTGGTGCGGCCTGGGCGGGGGGAGGTGGGGAAGTGGCGTTGCAGGGATGGGGAGCTGAGGCGCAGAGAAGGGGCGTGTGCGGTTGGGAGTGTGCTGCGTGTGCTTAGTGCGCTTTCTCTTGCTTGACCTCTGGAACCAGCACCACCACGAGCAAAGGCGTTCATAGCAGCATCAGAGCCACTGCCACAACTACTACCACCACTAGCACTGCCAGCAGAGCGAGCAGTAGTAATACTAGCAGCAGCAGCGCCACCAGCAGCAGCAGCAGCAGAAGCAGTAGCAGCAACCCCATCATCATGACGACCCCACCACCCATCTGGGTCCTTCCATTCTGCCGCTCTCCCCCTCCCTTCTGCTCCCCCCCTGCCATCCCGCCGCGGTGTCACAAGCGCCTGCCACCCGCCTTGCTGGCTGTGGTGCTCCTGCTGGTGGGCATGGGCGTGACTAAACGCCACACTATCCCGCCCACCGGCCCCACGGGCGGACAGGGGTCCCATCAGGTACCCCGCTCCCCCTCCTCGTACCCCTCTTCCCCAGAAGTCCTCCTCGCTATCCCCTTCTCCTGCCGTACCGCCTGCATCATCCTCCTCGTCCTCCTCCTCCTGCCCTCTCCCCAAGCTCTGTCCATACCGCTCTGTGTTTCTCGAACCTCTACCCCCGCGGCCTCTTCCCCCCTCTCTAACCCCCTGTCCCGGCAGCTGCAAGGGATTCACTCTCACCATAGCCCGCCCTGCCTTGCCTCCTGCCCACCCTCTCCCTGTGGCACCAGCAGCAGCAACACCACCACCACCAACACCAGCAGCAGCACCACCACCAGAAGCACCAGCAGCAGAGGCAGGGTTAAAACCAAGAGTCGCTCTAGGAGAGGAGAGGGCTAAGCCCCCTTGCCGCGGCACAGCAGCTCTGGGGGATGGAAGAGGACCAGGGAGAGAAGAGGACGGGGGGAGGAGCACAGGGGGTGAGAACACACCTGCTTGAACGGTTGAGGGAAGGGAGGAGGAGGGCGGGAATTGGAACTGCTGCGGCTGGTTGGGAGTGAGGGAGCGGGGAGATGGGAGAGAGGGCGAGGAGGAGTGAGAGAGGGAGTGAGAGTGAGAGTGGGAGTGGGGGTGAGAAAGTGAGTGGGGAGAGAGGGACGAGGAGGGGTTGGGAGGGGGTGGGGAGGCGGTGTGTTGCTCGGGGACTGTGTCTGGGAGGCCTGAGAGTGTGCGTGTGCGGCGGGTGGGAGGAAAGGCACTGGGATGACTGGCACGAGGGGAGGGAATCAGATGGTGGGTTAGAGGCATGGAGAGGCACGGAGAGGGCGAGTGGGAGGAGCGTGGGGACTGAGATGGGGAGGGAACGGAATGGATGGAGTAAGGGAGAGAGGATTTCGACCGGTTAGGAGGGAGAGATTGGGTAGTGTGAGGGGGGTGGGAGCAGGCAGGGTCATGCGAGTGTTGTGGCATGTGCACGGCACAGCTGCTGCCACTGCCACTGCTGCTGCTGCTGCCAGTGCCATACTGCTGCGACTGTGCAACCACTCCCCATGACCGCGTGCGACCAGGCCCTCCTCTCACACCCGCCCCTGCCCCTGCCACTGCTGCACTCGCACACCCCGTGCCATGCGCTCCCATTGCCCCGCCCACGCCCCCGCCCATACCCCCGCCCACGCCCCCGCCCATACCCCCGCCCACGCCCCCGCCCACGCCCCCGCCCATACCCCCGCCCATCGTGCCCCGTGTGTTGATACCTCCCATGCCTCCGCCCATGCCCCCAGCACCCATGCCAGGCATGGCGTGGTGAGGCATGCCCCCGGGGCCTGTCACAAACACCTGGTTCAGCAGCCTCTTTGGCACGCTCCTTGCCTTTCGGAACACCGCCTCCCTCTCGCCACGCTGCTGCTGCTGCTGCTGCTGCTGGTACTGTTGCTGGTACTGCCGCTGCTGCTCATAATGCTGCTGTTGCTGCACCTCTCGCACACGCCCACTGCCAGCACCCACTGTGCCAGCGCCCTTGCCCCTCCCCATGCCCATGCCTGCCGTCACACCCTCCCTTCTCCCCACCCCACAATGCGCCCTCTCTGCTCCATGATCGTGTGGTGGCATCTCTCCCCCATGTCCCCCATGCCCCCCATCTCCCTCATCCTCCTCCCATCCATTCAATTCGACAAAATCGTCCTCCTCTTCCTCCTCCACACTCCCTTTCTGCCACGTGTGCGCGCTACTGCTTCCGGGCAGCCCGAAAACACTTCCAGCTGCCCAGCTGGGGTCAGGTTCGGCTGTGGTATTGTGGTTGCTGTCTGTCCATGCCCGTCGAAGGGGAGGGAGAGGCCCTGACCGCGGATAGTGTTTCTGCTGCTGCTGCCCCTGCTGCTGCGAGTGCTGATGCTGCAACTGCTGCTGCTGCTGATTCTGCTTCTGCTGCTGATGCTGCTGCCAAAGCGACACCCCTGCTGCTCCGCCTCCTGCTGCTGCTACTGTCTTATGATGGGCCCCACGAGGGGACAGGGAAACCGCGTGGTGCAGTCGCTGCTGCTGCTGCTGCTGCTGATAGTCCATTCTTCCCGCAGCAGAAGCAGTAGCAGCAGCATGGGGGGGAATAGAAGCGAGACCGGTAGAGAGCGCGAGAGAAGGAGAGGAGGAGAAGGAGCGTGGGAAGGCAGCGCCACGGGGAGCAGAGGGAGCAGAGGGAGCAAAGGCCATGGGACTGTGTGCCCAGGGCAGCTCTCCTCTCGCCAACAGACGCACCGGCTCCTCCTCTTCCTCCTCTCCCCCTTCCCCCTCCTCATCTGCCCCTTTTCCCTGCAGTTTCCTCCCTCCGACCCCTCCATCCCCTCCTCCTTTTCCTCCTCCCCCTACTCCTACACTACCACCCTCCTCACTCGCATCCTCCCAATCATGCCCTCCTCCCTCCCTTCCCCCCTCCTCTTCCCAAAACTCCTCTCCCTCATCGTTCTCTTCCTCCTCCTCCTCCTCCTCCCACACGGAATGTCCCCCTCTCAGCCTGCTGCTGCTGTCCCCCAAGGGGCTTCTGGGAACGCTATCCCACACGCGGGACCGCTGAGGCGCGCTTGAAGCTTTAGACAGGCGCCGGGAAGCAGAGGCGGAGGCGGAGGCGGAGGCGGAGGCGGAGGGGTGTGGGGGGAAGGAAGGCGCGCGAGGGGGGAGAGGGGCAGGGGGGTGCATGGGGTGGGAGGCGCGCCGAGCGGCGGCTGGAGGGGCGGGCGGGATGGCTGATGGGGAATGGGGATGGGGATGGGGGAGAACGTGTGGTGGTGACGGTAAGGGTATGTTGTGCTGGCAGCAGGAGTGGGAGGGGGAATGGGATGCCATGTGCTGGTGCTGCTGGTGGTGATGGTGGTGGTGGGGGTGGTGGGGGTGAGGGTTGTTACTGTGGTGCGGGCAGCAGGAGGGGTGCACTGGCGGAGACGAGAAAGCAGCAGGCAGAGGAGCAGAGAGAGAATGCGGGAAGGAGGGGGGCGCAGCAGAAGCAGCGGAAACGGAGCAGGAGCAGGGTGCATGAGGCGGGAGGGAGCGAGGAGAAGGGGACAAAACGGGTTCAGCACAATGCACGCTGCACTGCACACCATGATGCACAACGCAGGGTTGTGAAGCAGCAGCAGCAGCAGCACAACCACCACCAGCAGCAGCGCACACGTGGCCTGCTGCAGCAAAACCACCGCATTGCTGTGGCTCCTGCGGCTGGTGCTGCTGCTGGTTTTGCTGCTGCCGCCGCCGTTGCTGCTGCTGCTGCTGCTGCTGCTGCTGCTGCTGCTGCTGCTGCTGCTGCTGCTGCTGCTGCTGCTGCTGCTGCTGCTGCTGCTGCTGCTGCTGCTGCTGCTGCTGCTGCTGCTGCTGCTGCTGCTGCTGCGAGCTTTGGTGGTTCTGGTTGCGTTGAGTACTGTCTTCCCTGTGTCTCTCCCACTCCCTCTCCTTGCGCCTCTCCGCCTGCCATTCCTCCTCTAGTTCCTCCAGCACCTCTCGCTGCATCTGCTGCACTTCCCAGCTGCGTTGCGCCACACTGTGCCCGAACCACCCACCCGAACCAGAAACGCCCGAACCAGAAACGCCCGAGCCAGAAAGACCCGAACCTGAAAGCGCCCCGTGTGATTCCTCGCCGTCACTAGAGAGATAATCACAGCCGTTGCTTGGTGCACGAGCACTTGTAGTAGCAGCCGCTGACCCAAACTGCTGTTGCTGCTGCTGCTGCTGCTGTTGCGGCTGCGGCTGCTGCGGCGGCTGGCGCTGCTGCAATGGCGGGTGCGCTAAGTGTGTGTGCTGCACCCGTTGTTCCGATTCCACAGCCGCAGGACGCAGCTGCAGAGAGCGAGGGTGCAGCGGCGAGTGGGGCGAGGAGGACGAGGAGGGGGAGGAAGGGGAGGAAAGGGAGGAGGGAGAGGAAGGCGAGGGAGGGGAGTGAGGGGAGAGAGGAAGGAGAGGGGAGCGCTGCTGCTGCTGGTACTGGCGGGCACGAAGGATGGAGACATTGCGCAGCAGCACTGGCTCCGGTTCTGCTGAGCCTGCAGATGCACCCCCGTGTGCCTGCTGCTCCCTCTCCTCTTCCACTCCCTGCTGCTGCTCCTGCTCTTGCTCCTGCTGCTGTTGCTGCGCCTGCTGATGCTCCGACTCTGGTTTATCCGAGTGTAGCTGCTCCGACTGCTGCTTCCCCAGCTGCTGCTGTTGGTTTTCCTCCTCCGCCTGCTTGCTTGCTTCTCCTGCCTGTGCCCCTGCCTGTGCCCCTGCCCGTGCGTGCACCATCCCCAGCGTGGACTCGTCTGCCCCCACTGCCCTTTCCTTCTTCAACCCTAATTCTTTTCTTTTCTCGTCCCCCTCTCCCACCGCACCCCCTCCTCCCCCCGCACCCCCTTCTCCCTCCGCCCCTCCCCCTCCCCCCATCCCCGCGCGCCCAGCGTCCGCGTCCGCCTCCCCGCGCCCCTGGCTCTCCTGCGCCTTGGCCAGCCGCATCTCCTCCCGCCGCCGCTGCCTCTGCTCCGCCCACAGCTGGTGCAGCCGCACCTGCTGCAGCGTGCGCTGCCGCTGCTCCTCCGCCAACGCACCCCCCCCATCCTCCCCCGCGCCTCCTTCCGCGCCCCCCGCGCCCAGCCGCGCTCTAGCAGCCGCGCTATTAAGCGCCCCGCGGGGCTCTGTAACAGACTTGCGCAGCACTCTCCTGGCGCTGACGTTGGCGTTCCCGCCGCTGCTTCTACTGCCGCCCGCTCCGCCTCCTGTCGCCTTCCCCTGCCCGCGTCCCCCGCCGCGCCCACGGGCCTGCGGTCCTTCCGCCTGCCGTTGCTCTTCCCGCGGCTCCACCTCTCCCCCATGCTTCCCCTTGCCCTCCCCCAACATGTGCTCACGCGCCCTGCCCCCCGCCCTCCCCCGCCCTCGCCCGCGCGCGTCAGCCCGTCCACGGCCTTCCCCTCCCCTTCCGCCCTCCCCACGACCTCGTCCCCGCCCCTCACCCCGCCCTCTGCCCGCGCGGCCGTCCGCCTGCGCGCCCGGTTCCGCCATCGCCCCCAACGGCCGCGCGGATGGCGCAGTGCCAGGCTTCAGCCGGCGGAGAGAGGCGCTGCGCTGGAAACCTGCGCCCGCGCTCTTATCCGCACCACTGCCAGGCGCAACGCCCTCCGCACTGCCGCCGGCATCCTCTCCCCTCCGCTGCTGTTGTTTTTTGCCCAAGTTGCCGGCCGCAGCACCCAACGCTGTGTCGCCATCGTCGCCACCCGTTTTCCCCCGCTCGCCCCTCTCAGCTGCGCCAGGCGCGCAGCTCGCATGCGCGCGACTCCCCGTGCGCGCAGTTGCCCGCGCCGCTGCCGGCGCAACTTCAGCGGAATCAGACGCGCTCGGCACAGCCGCGGGCAGATTTCCCGCGTGCGCCGAGGCTCCCTCTGTCTGCGCAATTTTTCCGCGAGACGAGCCGTTTCGAAGGGGCTGAGTTACCCCCTCTCGCGCGTCTTTAATCTGTACACGTTCCGCTGTCGCGTCTTGATTGGGTCGCCCATTCAGCGTCGCTGCATCCCGCTGACGCCCCTCGCGACACTCGATGAGCGACGCTGTTACCTCTTCTGACGATATTTCATTTGTCGCAATTCCGTTCGCTAGGGAAGGACGAAGCAGCGCGCCGGGGTCTGTTACGGAAGCTTCGGTTTCCGCGACCCCTGACGCGCGCACGGCCATCCGCAAAGCAGCGCCACCATCAGCGCCAACCATGGCGCTATCGCTAGTACCTCTAGCAGCTCTACCTCTACCTCTACCGCTACCGTTACCACTAACGCTACCGGTACCGCTAGCACTAGCATCGTTAGCGCGTTCTTCGCGCTCTAACTCACAAGGGACGGCATCGTCACATGATGGATGAGGAGGAGTAGGAGCATGGAGAGGCGGCGAGTCTAGCGGCTGTTGCTGCTGACTTTCCCTGCCGTTCAAAGTGCCAGGCTCTGCCGCTTGAGCGGACAACCCGGCCGCCGAATCGGCGGGGTAGGGTGGAGAGTGGTGGGACTTACCCGGCTGCGACGCGGTTCGAGCGAGTACGAGGCGCGGGGGCGCCTTCGGGGCGCCCTCCTCCCGCCAGGCTTCCACCACTCTCAACCGGTACACACCTGGCGGCTCTTTCTCCGGTCGCTCGGATGTCGTCAACCATTGTGTTACCTCCGCCATTACAATTGACTACAGTCTAATAAAGTCTATCAAGTAGAGTGAGGGTTAGACTCGATAAGAGCATTCGCGTTATCAGATAATAAGAGCCTATGACGACGTGACGCCTCGTACCAGGCGACATAACCATCGTCGCATCACGTCGCCTGGACGATCGTCTGGGATGGATCTTTTTCGCGGAAGCGCCATCCGAGGCACAACAACGAAAGGAGATGCGGCCTTACGAGTCGCGACAACTAGTTCTTTTTTTAAAGAACATAACGTTTCCGCCGCCCATTGTGCGGTGCGCGGAAAAGCTTGAAGTAACTGATTCGGCAGAGGGGGGAGCAGCGGCGGGAAGAGGATTGGACAAGGGGTAAGTCAAGAGTGAGGAACTAGAATGGGTGCGGTTGAGGGGGAAACGAGTTGGAGCGGGGCGGGGGTGGGGGAGAGGCATCAATGAAAGGAGCTGTTGGATTGACCTGGCCGTCCTAGCCAGGCTCGAACGAAAAGCAACCAAGCAGGTGCTGTACGCCAGTGGAGGCATCGTAACGTCATTGCTTTAGCGTGTTGCTTTGGTGTGCTGCACAAAACCGGTTGGGAGGGAGGGAGGATTCGTGCTCCTGGTTGGTTGGAACTTGGTGGAATCACTTGCAGGTGTCTAAAAGGAAATGTGCCAAGGCATTGTGGCGACGTCACACAACATGGCAAGCTCATACAAAAGCTAGCTCTGCTATGCTTTGCAGAGCAATCCATACTTTCCTACAAGTGTTTTTGCATGAGCTACCCTAAAAATAAAAGGATACCCTGTTAAAGCGGGTCAATTCGATTCAGAGCAGCGCGCATTGGGTCCTATTTCCTCAGCACACTGTACAGTGATTTTCTAACGTTTGAAACTTCAAATGCAGACTGTAGTCGTTCAGATTCTCCGTCCGTTGTGACTGGAACAAGGGGGTGCTCCTGGAAGACAGCCAGTATATGCGATGCTTTGTGCGTTTGGGTACGGTGGGAGAAGGCGCGTCCCTCCGTGGGCTGGCTTCCTGCCCAGAGTGACTTGGAGTGGTTTGCCCTTCCGTATTGCGGACCGCGGGCTCGAGACGACCCAGCGACGTAAAGTGTCGCAGGCTGTCGCTGGCAGGGCTCACTTTTTCAGGATGTTCGACCATGTTTGCCCTGCCAAGCAGGGTGAGTTTTTGTCTGTACCCTGCTAAGACTGGATCTCCCTGGGACGTCACCCGGCCACAATTCGAGTGCCTTTTTGGGTTGCGTAGCAACTCTTTATATTTGGTTTCACATTTTGGGGATATCATTTGAAGAGTGTATTTACACACTTTTTGGAGCACCCGTTTTGAATGTTTTGATACTGTGTTCAAACGGATGCCTCAAATAATGGATAAAAAACACCCTTGAATGACATCCCCATATGTAAAACCAAATACCGGAACGCACGTACGTATCATGTTGAAACCATGAACGTGCTCGACCGTCCCAACCTCGTCGATAAATACGGCGGATCGTACGGCCGAGCATAAAATTCTGGCATCAACATGAACGAATGAACAACAAGGTATGAGGTGGAATGGATGCTTCAAAATGAATGTTAAAATGCATCATGCAGCAACAGAGGTTGATGGGGTCGTTGAAACAGCGGAAACCCGCTGCCCCAAAGACGATTAACAACCTCTAATTGCATACATAACACACAATAACTGTGAAAGGAATGAACAGGAATGAATTGACTAAGTCAGAGTTGGGTACAAATACAACCCTAGCAAACTGTACCCCATATGTGCTACCCCACTATGGCCTACAAACATGCATCAGCTATAATAATCTGACACACCCCCATAGGCAAAGTGGGGGAGAACAAGGGGTCACAAGACCAGTCAAGCAAAGCAAAGCAAGCTCAGGGTGGATCACAAAGTCACCACACAGTCCGAGCACAAGAGCAAGGCCAGAGGCCAGTTCACATGCAGGAGTACAGACATATATATAAAACTAGACAAGCAAGAGCAGGTATATATATGTCAAAGTACAAGTAAAGTCAAGAAGAGAGCAAGTGAGGCAAGACAGGTACAAGACCCAGCTGGGTACAAAAGCGCTGATGGTCGCAAGGCGCAAGTGCCTTGGTGAACACATCAGCAGTGTTGGCCTCAGAGGCCACGTAAGCAAGTCGCAACTGACCACGCTGCTGCAGCTCACGAGCAAGGAAGTAGCGGAGAGCAATGTGCTTCGTTCTGTGCTCCAAGCGCTGCTCTCGACACAAGGCCAACATGGCCTTGTTGTCTACGTACAGCACTGGAGGAGAACGAGGCAGCTCTCCAAGGTCAGTCAGCAGGTAGGTGAGCCAGCGAAGCTCCTGTCCAGCCATGGCCCCGGCGTAGATCTCAGCCTCACAACTGGAGCCGAGAACCGAAGACGAGCGAGTAGACCGCCACGAGACAGAGCCGGAACCAAGGCTGAAGGTGTAACCCTGTGACGACCGCTGCGTAGCCTGGTCGTCAGCCCAAGAAGCGTCTGCGTGCCCAGTAAGGACCACTGGACTCCGCCCTCCAAGCACTAGCCCCATGCCCGACGTACTGCACAGGTAGCGCAATACCCTCTTCGCTGCAGCCATGTGCTCTGGTCGGTGTCTCCCAGGAGCAACATAGCGTGCAAGGATGCTCAGAGGGTATGCAAGGTCAGGTCGTGTGCAGGTCATCAGGTACATGAGGCAGCCAACAAGCTCTGCATACGGACCACTCGACTCTACGGACTCATCCGAAGGCAGAGCTGAGAGTGAGTGGCGAGTAGGCAGAGGAGTGGCCTGAGGCGAGGAGTACGTGAAGCCGAAGCGCTGAAGGACCTGCTGCACCATGTGTGACTGAGTCAGGGTAATGGTGCGGCGTGCTCTGTCCCGAGTGATCTGCAAGCCAAGGTAGCTGCGCAGTTCACCCAGGTCTGTGCACGTGTGTCTCTTCAGCAGCTCGGACTTCACGTAGGCGAGTCCAGCAGTGTCCGCTGTGGCAAAGACCAAGTCGTCGACGTACACGAGGATGTAGAACGGCGGCAGGGAAGTGTCGGTGCGAAGAAACAGCGACGGGTCAGTAGTAGAAGGAGCAAACCCAAGAGCCGCAAGCGTAGTCCTCAGTGTGTCGTGCCACTCACGCGGTGCCTGGCGGAGACCGTAGACTGGCCGTCGGAGGCTCCACTGGGTGCCAGGAGGGAAAGTCCCAGTGAAGCCAGGCGGACGGCGCAGCCAGATCTCCTCGTGCAAGCTACCCTGCAGGAACGCAGTGCTGAAGTCGAGAGAGTGAAGCTCGTAGTCCCGCTGAGCGGCAATGTGCAGCAGCACCCGAAGAGTGGTCATCTTCGGGGTGGGAGAGAAGGTCTGAAAGTAGTCAACTCCCTGCCGCTGACTGAAGCCACGAGCCACGTAACGCGCCTTGAAGACAGGCGGCGAGCCCGGCGGCCGCTTCACCCTGAAGATCCACATGCCACTGACGATGTTCGCCCCAGGAGGGGGAACCGCGTCAACGTAGGTGCCTGTGGACTTCCAGGAAGCCATCTCTGCATCCATAGCTGCCTGCCACTGAGAGGAGTAGGGACCCTCTACGGCCTCCGCGTAAGAACGCGGAGTCGGGATGTCTAGTGCATCCGGGTCTCCCTCAGGGGCTAGCAGTACAGACGCGAGACGAGGTGAAGCAGCGGCTAGACACTGGAACTCCTCCTGCCTG